CCCTGAAATGTCCCCCATGTTGTCATGTTACAATGTATTCCCCCTGAAATGTCCCCCATGTTGTCATGTTACAATGTATCCCCCCTGAAATGTCCCCATGTTGTCATGTTACAATGTATTCCCCCTGAAATGTCCCCCATGTTGTCATGTTACAATGTATTCCCCCTGAAATGTCCCCCATGTTGTCATGTTACAATGTATTCCCCCCCTGAAAATGTCCCCCATGTTGTCATGTTACAATGTATCCCCCCTGAAATGTCCCCCATGTTGTCATGTTACAATGTATCCCCCTGAAATGTCCCCATGTTGTCATGTTACAATGTATCCCCCCCTGAAATGTCCCCATGTTGTCATGTTACAATGTATTCCCCCTGAAATGCCCCCCCATGTTGTCATGTTACAATGTATTCCCCTGAAATGTCCCCCATGTTGTCATGTTACAATGTATTCCCCCTGAAATGTCCCCCATGTTGTCATGTTACAATGTATTCCCCCTGAAATGTCCCCCATGTTGTCATGTTACAATGTATTCCCCCTGAAATGTCCCCCATGTTGTCATGTTACAATGTATTCCCCCTGAAATGTCCCCCATGTTGTCATGTTACAATGTATTCCCCCCTGAAATGTCCCCCATGTTGTCATGTTACAATGTATCCCCCCCCTGAAATGTCCCCCATGTTGTCATGTTACAATGTATCCCCCCCCCTGAAATGTCCCCCATGTTGTCATGTTACAATGTATCCCCCCTGAAATGTCCCCCATGTTGTCATGTTACAATGTATTCCCCCCTGAAATGTCCCCCATGTTGTCATGTTACAATGTATCCCCCTGAAATGTCCCCCATGTTGTCATGTTACAATGTATTCCCCCTGAAATGTCCCCCATGTTGTCATGTTACAATGTATTTCCCCCTGAAATGTCCCCCATGTTGTCATGTTACAATGTATTCCCCCCTGAAATGTCCCCCATGTTGTCATGTTACAATGTATCCCCCCCCTGAAATGTCCCCATGTTGTCATGTTACAATGTATTCCCCCTGAAATGTCCCCCATGTTGTCACGTTACAATGTATTCCCCCCCCTGAAATGTCCCCATGTTGTCATGTTACAATGTATCCCCCTGAAATGTCCCCCATGTTGTCATGTTACAATGTATTCCCCCCTGAAATGTCCCCCATGTTGTCACGTTACAATGTATTCCCCCTGAAATGTCCCCCATGTTGTCATGTTACAATGTATCCCCCCTGAAATGTCCCCCATGTTGTCATGTTACAATGTATCCCCCCTGAAATGTCCCCCATGTTGTCACGTTACAATGTATTCCCCCCTGAAATGTCCCCATGTTGTCACGTTACAATGTATTCCCCCTGAAATGTCCCCCATGTTGTCACGTTACAATGTATTCCCCCCTGAAATGTCCCCCATGTTGTCATGTTACAATGTATTCCCCCTGAAATGTCCCCCATGTTGTCATGTTACAATGTATCCCCCCCCTGAAATGTCCCCCATGTTGTCATGTTACAATGTATTCCCCCTGAAATGTCCCCCATGTTGTCATGTTACAATGTATCCCCCTGAAATGCCCCCCATGTTGTCATGTTACAATGTATCCCCCCTGTAATGCCCCCCATGTTGTCATGTTACAATGTATTCCCCCTGAAATGTCCCCCATGTTGTCATGTTACAATGTATTCCCCCTGAAATGTCCCCCATGTTGTCATGTTACAATGTATTCCCCCTGAAATGTCCCCCATGTTGTCATGTTACAATGTATTCCCCCTGAAATGTCCCCCATGTTGTCATGTTACAATGTATTCCCCCTGAAATGTCCCCCATGTTGTCATGTTACAATGTATTCCCCCCTGAAATGTCCCCCATGTTGTCATGTTACAATGTATCCCCCCCCTGAAATGTCCCCCATGTTGTCATGTTTACAATGTATCCCCCTGAAATGTCCCCATGTTGTCATGTTACAATGTATCCCCCCCTGAAATGTCCCCCATGTTGTCACGTTACAATGTATCCCCCCTGAAATGTCCCCCATGTTGTCACGTTACAATGTATTTCCCCCTGAAATGTCCCCCATGTTGTCATGTTACAATGTATTCCCCCTGAAATGTCCCCCATGTTGTCATGTTACAATGTATTCCCCTGAAATGTCCCCCCATGTTGTCATGTTACAATGTATTCCCCCTGAAATGTCCCCCCATGTTGTCATGTTACAATGTATTCCCCCTGAAATGTCCCCCATGTTGTCATGTTACAATGTATCCCCCCTGTAATGCCCCCCATGTTGTCACGTTACAATGTATTCCCCCTGAAATGTCCCCCATGTTGTCACGTTACAATGTATTCCCCTGAAATGTCCCCCATGTTGTCACGTTACAATGTATCCCCCCTGAAAATGTCCCCCATGTTGTCATGTTACAATGTATCCCCCCCCTGAAATGTCCCCCATGTTGTCATGTTACAATGTATCCCCCCCCCCCTGAAATGTATTCCCCCATGTTTGTCATGTTACAATGTATCCCCCCCCTGAAATGTCCCCCATGTTGTCATGTTACAATGTATTCCCCCCTGAAATGTCCCCCATGTTGTCATGTTACAATGTATCCCCCCTGTAATGCCCCCCATGTTGTCATGTTACAATGTATCCCCCCTGTAATGCCCCCATGTTGTCATGTTACAATGTATCCCCCCTGTATGCCCCATGTTGTCATGTTACAATGTATCCCCCCTGTAATGTATTCCCCCCCCATGTTGTCATGTTACAATGTATCCCCCCTGTAATGCCCCCCATGTTGTCACGTTACAATGTATTCCCCCTGAAAATGTCCCCCATGTTGTCACGTTACAATGTATCCCCCCTGAAATGTCCCCCATGTTGTCATGTTACAATGTATTCCCCCTGAAATGTCCCCCATGTTGTCATGTTACAATGTATCCCCCCCCTGAAATGTCCCCCATGTTGTCATGTTACAATGTATTCCCCCCCCTGAAATGTCCCCCATGTTGTCATGTTACAATGTATTCCCCCTGAAATGTCCCCCATGTTGTCATGTTACAATGTATCCCCCCTGTAATGCCCCCCATGTTGTCATGTTACAATGTATCCCCCCTGTAATGCCCCCCATGTTGTCATGTTACAATGTATCCCCCCTGTAATGCCCCCCATGTTGTCATGTTACAATGTATCCCCCCTGTAATGCCCCCCATGTTGTCATGTTACAATGTATCCCCCCTGCCTCTTGAGGCAGGAAGACTTTTTCAAGGTGCTGTATATTGGGGCTAATGCACCACAATGTACAATATATGGCTTGTAGTTGCTGTGCAGCCCCCCCCCCCGATGAATGGTCGAGTTTGACAGAAGGTCCCGGCTGACAAGGCATGCCATGTTAAATTTGCCAAACCTGCGATGCTCTGCTTGGCATGTGAACAGCCTCCTATGGCTGTATTTTATACATTAGGTGAACAGTAGAGGGGGCGGTACAAACGTGGTTCAGTCACCTGTCCTGGCCACCCATGTGAAAGAAACCTTACAGTCTTAAAGTGGTTGTAAACCCTCACATATATCCAGTGAAGAGAGATAGTACACAGAGATGAAACAAATCTCTCTACATAGGTTGTACCTTTTTATCTGTAGCCCTCTTTCCTCTACAGCCATTCAAAGTACATGGATCAAAGGGTATTTTTCAGCTAGCAGGGGGTGGGGATTTGATGTCACACATAGAACACAGCTGAGTGGAATCTGAGACATGAGTGGAGGGAATGGACACACCCCACTCTACACAGTCTCATTGGGAAACAGGCACAGCTGAGGCTATCAATCACAGGATGTGTGCTGCAGGAGAGGGTGGGCAGCGCCATCTTACAGAATTGCTTAGTGTCCAGAAGAACTGTCAGAGGTAACTCATGCAGATAGCAGAGGAAGGACAAAGCAGCCAAGATCCACTCCAGGTGCTACAGACATAGGCAAGTACACACTATAGAAGGATATGCTTTGTTCATTTTTCATTTCAGGGGTTTACAAGCACTTTAATGTGTAAATGTCTGCACATCAGTAAAGACAAAGATTGTTCCCCAAATCTGTTAAAATGCCTCTAAACACCTTTCTCTGTGTTTTAATTGTGATCGCTCCTTGGGGACCAGGAAACGCACTAGTGATGAAGGCGGAGCTAAAGGAATGACTGACATCCCTGGACACTCCACGCCTATCATTTTCTGAATAGCTAGGGGGTGTGCTGGGAGCCCTGACCGTCTGGGTGATCCTCGGCGTACTACTAGAGTGTACAGGATGTCACAGATCTGTAGCGTGTTCAGTACATAGACAGTGCAGGGCAGAGCTGGGAGGGGTAACTGACTACAGGAGATACAGATCAGTCCTGAAACCCGAGCAGATGCAAACTGACCACGCCAGCTGAGATATGCTAATGTCTCTGGCGTGGTCAGATTGAAACCTGAACCAAGGGGGACCGGCAGGATCATCAGATATTTTGCACCAACAGAAAATATTAAATATTATTTCAGGTACTTATATAGCGCCGTCAATTTACGCAGCACTTTACATATATATTGTACATTCACATCAGTCCCCGCCCCCGAGGAGCGTACAATCTAAGGTCCCTAACTCACATTCATACATACACATACTAGGGACAATTTAGACAGGAGCCAATTCACCTACCAGCATGTCTTTGCAGTGTTAGAGGAAACCAGAGTACCTGGAGAAAACCCACGCAGGCACAGGGAGAACATGCAAACTCCAGGCAGGTGGTGCTGTGGTTGGGATTTGAACCAACAACCCGAGTACTGCCAGGTGGAAGTGCTAACGATTTAGCCACTGTGGTATTACAGGCTAGATTTATATAGACCTACATGAAATCTTAGTTTTTGGGGTAACATACACTTTTAATAAACCCCCCCAATGGTCTCTGTGACAGCAATGTGTCCCCCATCACTCCACCATCCCGCCATTCATTCATCCTACCAACAAAGAAGACACTTACAGGATCCGTGGCCCACCGCAAACAGGTCTTTGTACTTGGGGCTCCTGTAGAGGAAGAAGACATGACATCAATGAGAGCGCAGAATGGAGGAGGAATGATCGCCAATACCAAAATATCTATGACTGGTGACTGGATAGGAGGAGGATGATACATAGTTCTCAGAAAATACTCCTTAAAGTGGTTGTAAACCCCAACATATACCCAGTGAGGTGGCTGTCCTCAGATGTAACAAATCTTCCCACATACAGCGCCTTGAAAAAGTCTTCATCTCCCTTGAAATATCCCCCATGTTGTCATGTTACAATGTATCCCCCCCTGAAATGTCCCCTATGTTGTCATGTTACAATGTATTCCTCCCCTGAAATGTCCCCCATGTTGTCATGTTACAATGTATTCCCCCTGAAATGTCCCCCATGTTGTCACGTTACAATGTATCCCCCCCTGAAATGTTCCCCATTTTGTCATGTTACAATGTATCCCCCCCCCCCTGAAATGTCTCCCATGTTGTCATGTTACAATGTATTCCTCCCTGAAATGTCCCCCATGTTGTCATGTTACAATGTATTCCCCCCCCCTGATGTTACAATGTCCCCCATGTTGTCATGTTACAATGTATCCCCCCCTGAAATGTCTCCCATGTTGTCATGTTACAATGTATTCCTCCCTGAAAATGTCCCCATGTTGTCATGTTACAATGTATCCCCCCTGAAATGTCCCCCATGTTGTCATGTTACAATGTATCCCCCCCTGAAATGTCTCCCATGTTGTCATGTTACAATGTATTCCCCCCTGAAAATGTCCTCCATGTTGTCATGTTACAATGTATTCCCCCCTGAAATGTCTCCCATGTTGTCATGTTACAATGTATCCCCCCCTGAAATGTCTCCCATGTTGTCATGTTACAATGTATTCCCCCCTGAAATGTCCTCCATGTTGTCATGTTTTACAATGTATTCCTCCCCTGAAATGTCCCCCATGTTGTCATGTTACAATGTATTCCCCCCCCATGAAATGTCCCCCATGTTGTCATGTTTACAATGTATCCCCCCTGAAATGTCCCCATGTTGTCATGTTACAATGTATTCCTCCCCTGAAATGTCCCCCATGTGTTGTCATGTTACATGTATTCCCCCCATGAAATGTCCCCCATGTTGTCATGTTACAATGTATTCCCCCCTGAAATGTCCCCATGTTGTCATGTTACAATGTTTTTCCCCCCCGAAATGTCCCCCATGTTGTCATGTTACAATGTATTCTCCCCCCCCCCCCAGAAATGTCCCCCATGTTGTCATGTTTACAATGTATTCTCCCTGAAATGTCCCCCATGTTTGTCATGTTACAATGTATTCTCCCCTGAAATGTCCCCCATGTTGTCATGTTACAATGTATTCTCCCCTGAAATGTCTCCCATGTTGTCATGTTACAATGTATTCCCCCCCCCCCGAAATGTCCCCCATGTTGTCATGTTACAATGTATTCCCCCCTGAAATGTCCCCCATGTTGTCAGTTACAATGTATTCCCCCCCCCCCCCCCCGAAATGTCCCCTATGTTGTCAAGGATCCCCTTTGGCTGCAATTCCAGCTGTCAGATTGGATGGAGAGCGTCTGGGACAGCAATTTTCAGGTCTGGCCACAGATTCTCCATTGGATTTGGGTCTGGACTGTGACTGGGCCATTCTAACACATGAAGATGCTTTGATCAGAAACCATTCCATTGTAGGTCTGGCTGGATGTTTCGGGTCGTTTGTCCTGCTGGAAGGGGAACCTCCGTCCCGGTCTCAAGGTTTTTGCAGACTCTAACAGGTTTTCTTCTAAGATTGCCCTGTATTTGGCTCCATCCATCTTTCCATCAACTCTGACCAGTTTCCCTGTCCCTGCTGAAGAAAATCATCCCCACCACATGATGTTGCCACCACCATGTTTCACGGTGGGGATGGTGTGCTCAGGGTGATGTGCAGTGTTAGTTTTCCCCCCACACACAGTGTTTTGCTTTTAGGCCAAAAAGTTAAATTTTGGTCTCCTCTGACCAGAGCCCTTCTTCCACATGTTTGCTGTGTCCCCCACATGGCTTTCTCACAAACTGCAAACAGGACTTCTTATGGCTTTTTCCTCCAACAATGGCTTTCTTCTTGCCACTCTTCCATAAAGGCCAGATTTGTGGAATGCATGACTAATAGTTGTCCTGAGGACAGATTCTCCCACCTGAGCTGTGGATCTCTGCGGCTCCTCCAGAGTTCCCATGGGCCTCTGGCTGCTTCTCTGATGAATGCTCTCCTTGCCCGGTCTGTCAGTTTAGGTGGATGGCCATGTCTTGGTAGGTTGGCAGTTGTGATTGAACAGTGCGCCGTGAGATGGTCAAAGCTTGGGATTTTTCTTTATAACCTAAATTGCTTTACACTTCTCCACAACTTTATCCCTGACCTGTCTGGTGTGTTCCTTGGCCTTCATGATGCTGTTTGTTCACTAATATTCTCTAAGAAACCTCTGAGGGCTTCACAGAACAGCTGGATTTATATTGAGATTAAATGACACACAGGGGGACTAATTAGGTGCTTTTTCTGAAGGCAATTGGTTCCACTAGATTTTAGTTAGGGGTATCATAGTAAAGGGGGGCTGAATACAAATGCACACCACACTTTTCACAGATTTATTTGTAAACAATTTTGAAAACCATTTCTCAATTTCCTTCCACTTCACAATTATGTGCCACTTTGTGTTGGTCTATCACATAAAATCCCAATAAAAATACATTTACATTTTTGGTTGTAACATGACAAAATGTGAAAAATTTCAAGGGGTAGGGACACTTTTTCAAGGTTCTGTAGGATTGTACCTGTCTGTCTGCAGTCTTCCCTTCTCTACATCCATTCAAAATACAGAATTTATAAAGCTTGTCTGAGATGTCAGGAAAAAAAGGGACAGAGAGCTTAAATTACACACTACAGAGCACAATGGGGGGTACTCTGAGAATTGATTGGAAGGAAGAGATACAGTGACCCCCTTCACACAGCACACAGGAACAGGCCATTCACAAGCTGTGTGCTGGAGCTCCCTCCCCTGACACCATTGTCTTCTTGGTGTCAGGAAAACTAGTCAGGTAGCAGAGGAATGAAACAAAGTGACACTTAGTGCTTCAAATTGAGACAAGTACACTCTATAGTGGCATATGCTTTAAAGCTGGTCTCCACACTTCCTCTTATCCCCTCCCCCCAGATTTCAGGCATCCCCTGCAACAAAAATATCATTTTTGGTGATATCACGTCTAGAGGAATGCATACCCTGCCACTTTCCTCATTAGAGCCCTGCAGGAGCAGCAGCCTATTGACAATGATATAAAACCACTCCTCTAAAGATTCCCTCTGCACATGGACACAGACAAGCAAACCGTTACTTCTTCAGAATAACAAAAAGGTAGGAATCTGTAATAAAGTTTGTTAAAATCCTTGAAATGTACATAGACCACCCAGAGGAGAATGTTTTTTTCTCAAAAAAAGTTACGCTTTAAATAGAATGTATTGTGGCCTAAAGGTGGCAGCATTCATTTGGAGGCTGATGGCATTCATTATTGTCAATGGAGCCTCCAACCTGCATGTGATCCAAATGTCACATGATCTGGAGAGCCAGCAGCCATGCAAATTGTTGGCTGCTGGCTCTCATAAGGAAGAATGTGTATTACTGTGTTCTTAACATGAGCTAGGAAGGGAGGGAGGGGGTTAATTAGGTTGATTCGGTTTTTTTTTTTACAGTATCTTCCAGAAGTGAGTCCCCCCCCTCACATTTTTGTAATATTTGATTCTCTCTTTTCATGTGACAACACTGAAGAACTAACACTTTGCTACAATGTGACGTAGTCAGTGTACAGCTTGTATAACATGTACATTTTCTGTCCCCTCAAAATAACTCAACACACCGCCATTAATGTCTAAACTGCTGGCAACAAAAGTGACTCCACCCCTAAGTGACAAGGTCCAAATTGGGCCCAATTAGCCATTTTCCCTCCGGGGTCATGTGACTCGTTAGTGTTACAAGGTCTCAGGTGTGAATAGGGAGCAGGTGTGTTACATTTGGTTTTATCGCTCTCACTCTCTCATACTGGTCACTGGAAGTTCAACATGGCACCTCATGGCAAAGAACTCTCTGAGGATCTGAAAAAAAGAATTGTTGCTCTACATAAAGATGGCCTAGACTATAAGAAGATTGCCAAGACCCTGAATCTGAGCTGCAGTGCGGTGGCCAAGACCATACAGCAGTTTAACAGGACAGGTTCCACTCAGAAACAGGCCTCGCCCTGGTCTACCAAAGAAGTTGAGTGCACGTGCTCAGCGTCATATCCAGAGGTTGTCTTTGGGAAATAGACGTATGAGTGCTGCCAGCATTGCTGCAGAGGATGAAGGGGTGGGGGGGGTCGGCCTGTCAGTGCTCAGACCATACGCCGCACACTGCATCAAATTGGTCTCCATGGCTGTCGTCCCAGAAGGAAGCCTCTTCTAAAGATGATGACCAAGAAAGACCGCAAACAGTTTGCTGAAGACAAGCAGACTAAGGACATGGATTACTGGAACCATCTCCTGTGGTCTGATGACACCAAAATAAACTGATTTGGTTCAGATGGTGTCAGGCGTGTGTGGCGGCAACCAGGTGAGGAATACAAAGACAAGTGTGTCTTGCCTACAGTCAAGCATGGTGGTGGGGGTGTCATGGTCTGGGGCCCCATGGTGGTGGGAGTGTCATGGTCTGGGGCTGTATGAGTGCTGCTGGCACTGGGGAGCTACAGTTCATTGAGGGAACCATGAATGCCAACATGTACTGTAACATACTGAAGCAAAGCATGATCCCCTCCCTTCGCAGGGCAGTATTCCAACATAACAACTCCAAATACACCTCCAAGACCACCACTGCCTTGCTAAAGAAGCTGAGGGTGAAGGTGATGGACTGGCCAAGCATGTCTCCAGAAATAAACCCTAATGAGCATCTGTGGGGCATCCTCAAATGGAAGGTGGAGGAGCGAAAGGTCTCTAACATCCACCAGCTCTGTGATGACGTC